CCCCCCCCCCCCCCCCCTCCTGTGTCTCGCTGTGTCTGTATTTCAATACCCCATTTGAAAGTATTTTGTCAAGTAAGTAAATTAATAGTGGGGCTGTTGACACTCAACAAAAGCTTTAAACAGGTCTAAGCTACCTGTCGCAGAAATCCAAGAGCAACCATTAATATATGGTAGCCCATGTGGTTTCATTTTGTTCGATAGCCAATTGGCCATGGGCGCAACCAAAAGCTAGCCATAAGATGAACTGTAACTACCTGTGCATATAATAAAGTGAAATTAATTTTTGAAAAATGATGAAAAATGAATACTAAATTCTAGAAAACTGTACACACAAGTAGCTACAGTTCATCTTTTGGCTAGCTTTTTGGTTGCGACCATGGCCAATTGGCTGTCGAACAAGATGAAACCACATGGGCTACCATAGATTAATGCTTGCTCTTGGATTTCTGCGACAGGTAGTTTAGACCTGTTTAAAGCTTTTGTTGAGTGTCAACGGCCCCACTATTAATGTACTTAATTGTTTATTTTGTCAAGTTAGATACTTAGAAACAATTAAGTTGTTTCAAATAGGGTATTAAAAAGGGTTATTATGTATTTAATTGAAAAAAAATTTTTTTTGATAAATATAGTTAAATAGAATTGAATACTAGACAAAAAAGATAAAAAAAATTGATGAATAAGAAGAAAAAAATAAAATTTATCAACGGTATGAATATGGAAATACCCCCGCTTTGGACATCGAGCATTTGGCTCTGCTCTTTCATTGCATTCTCAGACGCGATACACATTATTGACAAATCCGACTTTATATGGAGCAATGCATGAACGAAGACAGTCCGCATCGACTACTGTCAATTATTTTCATTGAAAAGAAAAAATGTAATAAATTTTAAACGTGTTCAGGTATGAGTTTGCTGTACCTATGTTCGACGATGACAATTTCGTCTCACCTACTGTCAGTGAAGATTTGTTTGACGAAGACTTCGATAGCGACGACTAAGACGACTGCAAGTTTACCTTGAGACTTTACGACTGAACTGAAGAGCAAATATGGAATAATATGGGATCCGAGCGTATAAATTTCGGATGTAAATTGAATCTTGATTGGACCACTGGGTTAATAATGTCCGCATCTACATTATAGATAGCGAAGTGTTGCCGGTTAGACACAAGCTAGACTACGTACTACGTATATGAAATCCGAGGCGCAGACGGGGGCGAAAGTTGCTGATGGTCGTGGTCTATTTTGCTTGTATACCAACATTTGCCTGATTCAATTTTTTTACGGAAATTTTCCGATTCACAGATACAATGTCGATTTTTTGTGAATTTTTTGAGTGAAACTTCTTTAGGAGACCCTCCAATGAGTCGAAACGTATCTACTATAAACTAAATTAAAAATCCATTAATGAATTAAACTCATTGGCATATTAAAGTGGTACAAGTCGCAAAGTAGCGTCAGCCTATATTTTAATCGTTGTCAATTTGCAATAATAGATGCGACCTGCGATTCAAAGAAATCATTTTCTAATCTTTGGATTATTTTCACAAAAATCAATAGCCTCGGTCGAAGCCTCGGTAAATAGAGCTACGAGGCTTCGTCGCACGGCACGACATTCATCAAAACAAAATTTAGACAACACATCGTGTACAATTTCAAATTCACGATTGCGCGCGAACTTTTACTTTAATTAATTAATTCGAATGCAAAGTTCGTTGCTGCAGTTGCCGTATGCTCTGCGCGTCTTTTTTTTAGCTTTTCATCGCTTTTTCCCAGTAGATATAACGATTGATATTTGAAATTTGTCGTTGTACACGCAACGCGATGTATACATCGCATCGACAGCGGGGCCTATATGTTTACGTATCGCTAACTCAAACGTTATACGTACACGTCAAATCGAAAAGTCTCGAGTAACCGTCAGTGTCGCGGCCGACGACGTTGAACGAGCCGATTCTCCTCGTAGTATCCTCGTTTCTGTTTTTTGCGTTTTGTCTTCAGTTGTAATAATAATATGGCGTCTCGCGACAGAAGGTCGAGCTTCGATCGAATTCACTCGAATAGTAGACGCGAGGGAGATCGCTCCGCCGACGAAGCTCTTTTGAACGACGATCGGCCTCGGCCGTCGGTTTCGCGGCCGACGGTCACGCTACGACGAGGCTCCAATCCCCAGAATCTACTACCGACCGACGGACGATCCCACCAACCGGGAGATGAGCCAGAAACACGAGAGGTAGCGACCCAGACGATTGACCGCCAATCGAGACATCCGCAAGTTCGGTTTGACCCCCAGCAGGATCAAGTAAACATAACAATGGACGCACCTGCATCGCCACAGCCGCCAAGTAGTGAGCGTCCACGAAAAAAGGTAATAATCATATATATAATGTCGATTGATTTTTAGAGTGAGAGTTAAAACATGTTGGAACAATGAACTAATGAAGTATTACTTTTTCGTTTTCACGCAGGGGCCGAAATCGCCGGAGGACGATACGAAATTCGGCACTAAGATTGCTAATTGCGCGGGCATCATTATCGTTATTATTATTATATTCTTATTCTTTATTAACGGTCTACGTGATCTCCCCAAATAAACTCCCAGGCGACCATGACTACGACATTCCACGAGACTTCAAGACGACGGCTGTATGGCCCTGGAGATAGAAATACATGTTTTTTTTTTCAACTTTTGAACTCGATTGAATAAATAATTGTAATTTTTGTATTGCTATGTGCACCATAATATTTACGTTGTCGCTTACATCATTTAATTACACCCTGATCACACAAATACAAAGAAAATACAATATTACGCGAGAGACGTCAACCTTGATAAACAACTAAGAGGTAAGAAAAAACAAAATGAGACGATACACGCTGGATAGTATCTATATAACATCAACATGCTTATAATCTCGCTGGTTTTCCCATTTTCATGCATCAACTCATGAGTGAATTCCACCTGCAACAGTAATAATAACAATCATAATTTTTTACATGGGTCAAACAAAATAATCGTTATTCAAGTAAAAGCCTTGGTCTACAGTTATCACTTATACCGGATTTGACCGAACTTTTATCTATACGAGCACACAACGATCAACCCCGTGAACATTACTTACAAAATGAGCTGGGGATACTCAAAGTAAATACCCGCTCTGGTGGATCCATCGTCGATGTCAAGAAGTATTAAAATTTGTAAGATGTACTCCTCGTCCAGTTAGCGACGGACTTCCCAATCCGTTTATGCCGTAATTTTTTGACCCATAGTACATAACCAGGCTCCTTTCCAAAAATTTTCCTCGACAAAACATCGAAGCTACTGTGAAAGCGAGCATTCAGAATTATACAAAAGTGAATTCCTGTAAATTGAACTAATCGTTTGAACCACTTTTCAATCGATGAAAGCCATTCGCGGTACATTCGATTCTGCCCAAGTTTATACACGTGCATCTTTCCGTCGCAATGTCGATCCCCATTTCGAGCTTCATTTTGGACACTGGTGTGCAGTAAAATGCCTGGTATAAATTAAAGTATTTTTCGCTCACTGTTGCATGAAATTTTGTATGAGTTGCGTAGATTTCTTGCCTAGCGCGAGAGAGATTATGACGATATCGAAGGAAAATTACAATGGACATGCCCATGTCCACGTACGCAATTATGCATGTAAGTCAGATAAATGCATATGCAGGGTGCCAGAAAGATTTCCCAACTCCGAGATAGATTACCGAACTGTTGATTGCTTACAAAAATATATTGAAGTCAGTCAGTTCGGGGATGGATCTACACCCAATACTGTATTTTCAGATGAAAACGGTCTTAAAATTTGCTTAGCAAGAGTGTTGGCAGCAGTAGGAGAAGACAATGTGTTTGAATGCGTAAGGTAAAAACACCAATTATGGAACGGTTTCGAGGCAACTTTTTTTCAAACACGTGTATCTACTTGAAAAATGGATAAAACTTTAAAACAAACTTATCATTAGATGCGCTGTAACTTTAATATCGAAATCCCTGTGTTTAAAGTTGTCCTTAATTTTCTTATTTATTTATATGAGTAATATTAACAAAGTATCTTTGGTACCTAATGACGGAACAGATGCAAACTTTGCGCGTTCCATTATAGAATCAACGAAATCAACGATTGTTCCAATATTGGAATCAACAAATCAATGGGCGATCTTAACCTCTACTGTTTCACTAAAGGGACGCTGCTTTTTTTGGGTATCCCTACCAATGGAACGCGCTTTTCAGACACACTTGATTAATTTATTCCTTGATAAAATTATTATTACACAGTTAGCTTCGAAATCATTTTTTATTGATTATACTAATGCAAATTGATACTTTTCAATTGCTTTTAAGATAAAATTTTAACTAAAACTTAATTTATAAGGGTTTAAATGCTGGTGTTCCACAACTTGGTACACCGTTCCATAATCGGTGCTTTTACTTATCGTCGCCCCAGCGCAGGAAGGTATCTATTTCCAAGCTGTAGCAAGAAGGATACTTACTCGCGCGCAGCGGCAAAAAGGTATCTAATTCGAGCGAGAAGCAAAAAAGTAGCTTATCCAAACGAAGTGGCAAGAAAGTTTTGACGCGCTGAATTTAGGTTGGCAACGCAGACGTAAATGATAAAATTTTGTTTCAATATTAAATATTCAACATTTAATTCAAACTTATGTAAAGCCGGTAACTTCTACTTTCCTCTCAGAACATACAAAGTTCTCCATAAGTGACAAATTGAGTCGAAATCGCGGTGAGATTGATTTGTTTGCTCGCATTACAAATGAATGAAAATCATTACACTAGCTCACTTGTTTTTTCTCTTTTTTGCTCAAATACAAAATAAAAATTTATCATTTACGGCTGCGTTGCCAACCTAAATTCAGCGCGTCAAAACTTTCTTGCCACTTCGTTTGAATAAGCTACTTTTTTGCTTCTCGCTCGAATTAGATACCTTTTTGCCGCTGCGCTCGAGTTAGATACCTTTTTGCCTCTGCGCGCGAGTAAGTATCCTTCTTGCTACAGCTTGGAAGTAGATACCTTCCTGCGCTGGGGTGGCGTTATGTGGAAACGACAATTCAGTATGATCGAATAATAGTATTACATTTTATCCTCATGAAAGAAAAGGGGAACATGTAAGAAACTCGCAAGATTTGAAGCTACAAGCTTTTAGTTATGTCCCACCAGATGATTGGCTTAGTTTTTACGTTATCTTTAAATTTTGCTTTTTTGCGTGATTTAAAATATTTCGCTCTCCTTCGACAGACGAATAATCGAATCGAAGCGTCACAGCCACTTCAATCGGCAGAGCCAAACGGATCAGTTTCGGGAAAACAGTCGTCACCGGCAAGCAATCGGCCATCGCATCAAGGGCATGCGGCATCGAGATGAAATTCATCCGGTCCGAGACCTAACAGCGTCGGCGCAACAATCAACAGCGCAAAATCCAACGCCATTTTTTCCACGAAATGAACATTCAATTTTAGATTTGGTGGTCGACGGTCATAGACAATCTCGAAAAGCACAGAGAAAAAAAGCGAAACAAGAAAGTACCAAGAATCCGGAAGCCGTAACCGAAGCCACAACCTCTAAACTTCCGCGATCGAGTCCCAATTAGGAGAAACTGCGCGAGAGAACGACGCGACAAAAGGACATCATAAAAATGCACGAAAATCCCTCGAATGAAGCATTTCTGCTCTTCGCGCTGTTGGCTGATATGGCTTGGATCGACCGCGAGCCTTCGGCGGCTCGAGGTGTTCATTTTTTTCGAGGATTTTCGAGTTCGACGTGCCTTGGCAAACTTCGTCTTTTCCGAAGAGAGCAGCACGTAAACTATACGAGTGATCGAATCCATTTGTCGTTCTGCACGGGTACTTTTAATTATAAAGATAAAGAACTATATGAATAAAGAAATAAAAATAAAGAACAATGATTTACTCGTTGCCAATGCTAAATCATGCAGAGCGCGTTATAGTCAATTGATCGAACTCGACGCGTATTCATTAAAATTTTATCCAAAAAAATGGAAAGCTTTTGTATGCGAATACTTACACTCGATAAAAAACAACTTGTAATATTTCTAAAAAAGAGTTTGTCACTAATACAACGTGAGCTATTATCTCAATCAAAAAAAAAATTTATCCTACAACTGAGGCGCGCTTCTATATACTTCAGGTAATGATAGTGTAAAAATCCGTCATTTCAGAAAAGGTAAAAAGTATGTATGTTAGTCTATGATAGTAGGTATTTCGAAATGAAAATAACATTTTGTAGCGATCTTATAAAATCGTAACAAAATAATCATCAATGAAAAATGGGTTTCAATGATATGGTACTTTTTGATATTAATGCCTCAGAATGAGCAGAACAGTATGTGCATTACACGTATGAAAAATCCTTTTTATGCAAAAAACTAACAATGATTCAGGTTATATTATTGTGCATTGAGCACCTTATAACCTTCAATTTCGGTAATTTCAAAATTAATTGAGGACAACACTTTCGGCTCAAAATTTACAAGTGTAAATAAAATAAAAAAGTTTAAAAAAAAAGTAAAATAATAGATAATAAAAGAAAAAATAAGTAAAATCATGATACCGATCCTCGGGGAAACCGTATTTTCGATAATCCACGGACCGGCAACGACGGGCCATCTCATCGAGGTTAGCCAATTCCTGGAACGGCCGATCGACGTCTGGACGGAGGACAGAATGTTGTTTTTTGGCCAGCGTCACAATCGACGCGAGCCCCGATTACACCTCAAGTACAAATCGCTGACCAAAAAGTGTCCCTCGTGTGGCTTATCGTCGGGCAAAGCAGTTGGTCACTTTACCCTACTTGAGGGTGAGGAGCCCCGCAATCCGGACGCCCGAAGTCATCCGCAAAATTGCGGCTTCGACGTCGTCTCGGACCAGACCGGCTATCCGGCGGATGCTGGCCAAGCTCTACGAGAGTCGTCTGAGAGGCCGCGACCATTACTTCCAGTGCTCCCACTGTACTTACATCATTGACTCTGTATTATATTTCAAGGCATAGTGTTGATTATTTGACGCCTGTTGCAGGTAGCGTGTCCGGAGGCGAGGAGGATTGGGACTGTCTCACGTCAAAAATGATTACAGAATCAAAATATGTGTACAATGGACATGCTCATCTTCACGTGTTCAATCAAAATTGCGAACCAAATTGTACTTGCCCTGAAGAATATATAGATGCTGAAAATACAATAGCAAATTTCAAAATAATTAATTGCATAAAAAAATATGATGAAATAAGAATCAAGAGGTCAAATGCGGTTGAAGTCCTTAAATATGCAAAAATTGCCATAACGGTATTCGATACTCAAAAGGATTTATGGAAGTGTTTAAGGATATTATTGGAGAGGCATTACGCTGAAGCAAAAACATGTATCTTTACGATGAAGTAGGAATTATGTAATGAAAAAAATATTCGTCTAAGTGATGGATTCGGAAATCAACCAAAAAGACGAACAAAAACAGGAACAGTCTCAGATTATATGCCATCAATGGAGGAGTTCGGAGTGACTCGTCGGTATTATCGTGGACCACCAGCGAAATTCGTCAAATTTAAAGTCGAAAGAGCAGAAGCGGTATTCAAACGTACACGTG